CCCACCCCCCAGGCTCTCACTCGGTGGCTTTCCGCAAGGACTTGGTCTCTTCCAGCTCATCTTGACAAGTCAGGTCTTCAGCTTTTGAGGATCTGTTGCCAGAACATTCTGCCCCAGTGCCACACATGTACTTTTCATAGAATTCCAGGGAGTTCGCAGACGCCTCGGTCCTGCCAGTGGGCCTTGGCCTGAAGCCAGGAGCCCAACGTGGGGGCGTGGCCTGCAGCAGCTCAGCCCTCAGGAGGTGGCCAGGCCGTGGGTTCACTGGGGAAGCTGCAGCCATGGGCGGGATGGCTGGGATCGGGTCTTGGCGCAGAAGGAAGTCAGTCAGGAATCAGGCCTGCCTGGCGAGCGCAGCACACGGCTGTGGACTGGCTCCTGGTTAACTCAGTTCTTAGCTCCTCGCGAAGACAGACCACAGGCTCAGTCCCTGCCCGCTGGGCTTGTGACGCAGCGGGCTGGCACGCCTCTCGGACAGCCCTGGTCTGTGCCTGTCCTGGCGAAGGCGAACAGGCCGCTCTAGCAGATGTGGGGAGCGGGGGCCACCTGCCCTCACAGGCACGAAGTTTAATGAAGTAAACGGAGCCCACAGCACAGGAGGGGGAGGAGGGGGAAGCTCCAGGCGCTCGCCCACCACCCTCCACCCTGCTAATGAGCACATATTTCTAAGCATGGGGGCTGGGGAGCCGTGAAGGTCTCTTGGGTCAGCACGCAAGGACCGTGGAGGGTCAGGATCGAAGGGACAGACTGCCATCCTCCAGGACGCCGCCTCCTGCAGCTGCTCCACTGGCCCGTGCTCAAATCTCATCCCCATCACATCGCAGGCTTCAGTGAGAGTCGGGTTTGGAGTCTGGACTTGTTTCCAGAAGCTGCGATGTGGGATGATTTCTCCCAGTCACTGGCTTCTCCCTGCTCCAATCTCCTCCGTCCTCCTGGGGCACAGGGGCTGTCGTGCTTCCGCTTTATCTTCAGTGTCTGCCCAGGGTCTGGCCCACCATGGCCACTCAGTAACTACTGACTGGATGGAGGATAGATGAATGAAGCACGGATGGACAGACAGAGGATGGCTGGGTGGACGGGTGGGTGAGCATCCTGCCTGACTAGTGCTCTCCATCTAACTCTCCCTTCCTCCTCTTCCTCCAGTGGGATTCCTCAGATGCCGGGCATCCCAGTGGCCTCTCCTGTCCCCTTTTCATCTCGACTTTCTTGGTCATAGCTTTTCCTTTTCTGGCAGTGTGGCTGTTGAAGTATCAGCCACACCCTAGTGTGGTGCCTTAGAAACACAGTCAGTCCACCTGGCCTTTCCAGGTGGCATCAGGAAAAGGCTGGGCAGGATGTCCAAGACCCTCCTGGACGGTGACGTCTGTGAGGGGGGAACGCGGAGGGGAGCGCACAGGCCCTTAGCTCTGGATTCCCAAAGTAGAGGGTCATGGAAGGAGAGCCTGAGTGCCTTCGGCTTGGCTCCAGGACCTTTAGTGAATGTCAGTGGGTGAGATACGGAATAAACATGGCTCCAGCAAGTGTTTGTACAACAGATTAGTTAACGATTGAAGGAAAACAGTCAATATTTGATGCTGTTGTAAATACCAAGGAGCTAATAAAGAAAGGGGAAAACTAAGCCTTGGCTGGCTCAGTAGACAATGCTCTTTATAGGGGTTTATGTAAATGTCACACAGTTATTACCCTGTTCCTCCTTCTCACGTAGATTCTTCCACCACCCACTACATATGCAGCAGCACGGAGATGTAGTCAGATGGACTTGAACATGAGTAAGACAAAATCTTTGTCCTCAAGGAACTTAGTATCTAGTTACGAAGGTGAGAAACACAAACAAATATTGTGCAAGGAGGATGTGATGAGGGCTGCAGAAGAGTGAGGAACACACGAGGGGTCTGCAGATGCAGAGAGTACACATGTCAAGCGCAAACTGAGTCTTCTCCCAGGGAGGCGTGAGACGTAGCAGAAAGCCCTGGCCCCCAGCTCAGGCACTGAACGTCTCTGACCCAAGCTAGCCAGCTAAGCCAGGCCACTGTTGCAGCTCCATCACTGGTGCTCCCCCTTGGGAAGGCCAGGGATGTCCTAGAGGGGGACCCTCTGGCCTGAACCAAGAATAACGTCTCTGAGATCCGTCGGGGCCGGACGCACGATACGTTTCCATCTCAAAGCTAAACCCTCTTGTATGCTCAGCGGCATGTTGGTGAGGTCGTCTGGCCATCTGGGTTATGTCATTAAAACATTAGAGGAGGCTGGGTTGGCGACTCACACCTGTAACCCCATCACTTGGGGAGGCAGAGGCAAGAGGATTGCCTGAGCCTAGGGGTTCGAGACCAGCCTGGGCAACTTGGCAAGACCTTGTCTTTACAGTAAATCAAAAGATTAGCCAGGTTTGGTGGTACACACCTGGTAGTTCCAAATACTTGAAAGACTGAGGCAGAAGGATCTCCTGAACCCAGCAAATCGAGGCTGTGGTAGCTATGAGCATGCGTCTGCACTCCAACCTGGGCAACAGAGTGAGACGACTCAAAAAAAAAAGATAAAACATTAGAGGAAATACTATCCACAGGAACCCACGAGGGCACAGATGAATCAGTACAAATGTGCCCCCTCTTGGCAAGATCCCTCACAGCCCTGTGTCATTGTCACCCTCAGGTGGGACGTGTTCCCGTGCTGCCAGGACATAGAGCCCTTCTGGGCCAGGTGGTTCTGCACTGAAGCCAGGCAGCTCCCAGAATCCTCCACGTCCACTGTCTTAAAGTAAAACTGAAAACTCAGACCGGGGCCTCTCCACACCCACTCTCTCGCAAATATGACACTGTTTGAGCCTTGATCAGAGAGGACAGGAGAGAGCTCTGTTCCCCGTCGTGTGAGCTTGATAAAGCAGGGTGTGGGCAGTCTGCCCTTTTCTTGCAGGAGTTCATGGATTCCACAAACACTTGTGCCCCGCTTCTAAGTATTCCCACAAAATGAATCTGTTTTGAAAATCAGGTGCTTGGCTTTCACCCCAAGCCAGCAGGTCTGGATATCTTCTGGAAGAAATCAGAGAATCGCTTTGGATACAGTGAGAACCCATTTCACAGCCAACACATGAGGAACTTTTCCCTGAGTCGAGATACACCCTGACTGACGAGGCCAGGGCGGTGGGGCGGGAGGGCTCTCTAGAGAGTTCTGCAGCCAACTCCGAGCTGGCCTGTCCTGAGGGCTCCATGCTAGTAGCTGGGGCTTGCGCAGGTATGCCGCTAGAATATTCTCTTGTCGCTCCACCCACCCCCAAACACACATGGAAGCAGTTATCAGGCCGCTCTCCCTAAAGCAGATTCAGTTTGCTCAGTGGATATTTATGAGGTATCTGGATTTTAGACCTGAGAAGAAGGTAAAATAAGCTGATTACTGAACTCTGGTATTGTTCTATATTAAATTCCTCTAAGGAGAGAACCATTGTTTCCCGCTTCTCGTGTGTGCATTCCCTTACTGTGAAGTGGATCCTGGAAAAATATTTTGATGACTCATTGAGCCTTCGGCATGAGAAATAGGGGGTTGGAGTAAAAAATGTTAAAAGTGGATCCAACACAGACATGGGCCCGACCCCAGCCCCAGACCATGGCCCAAACCTCCCAGCTAATCCCACCTTTGTGTTCTTGCAAATGTTCATTTCTTTCTGCTGTTTTTTTCATAATTTTCACTAGTCAGAAATTCATTCTAGTTCAAAGTAAGTCCCCCTTAAAGGGCAAATACACATATTTCACAAATAGAACTATTAAGGTACTGCCGTTCTCATTCATTCATTCTTTGTTTATCAAATATTAACTATGAGTTCCTGCTACGGACACACTTTAGAGTTTACATTAATTTATTTGTTTATTTATTTTGAGTTGGAGTCTCACTCTGTTGCCCAGGCTAAAGTGCAGTGGCACGCTCACAACCACCCCAGCTTTGATACTGGGCTCCAGTGATCCTTCAGTCTCAGCCTCCCAAGTAGCTGGAACTACAGTCACGCACTACCACACCCAGCTAATTGTTTTTTTATTTATTGTAGAGGTGAGGTCTTGCCAAGTTGTCCGGGCTGGTCTCGACCCCGGGGCCTCAAGTAATCTACTGGCCTAGGCCTCCCAAAGTGCTGGGATTATAGGTAGAGCCACCGAGTCCAGTCTAGAGTTCACATTTAAAATCTGAAGAGAGACGTTCAATGGCAATAACAATCACTAACATATGTCTACGGTCACACCACTCTGAACACACCTGATCGCATCTGACCCCAGAATAGCTGACATGTGTTGGGTACTTAACGTTGCACCAGGGTAATCTGATTCCTCATCGTTTTGTTTCATCTGTACTGCAGTCCTCTGAGCTAAGGTACAGTTAACGTGGCCACTCCTTGTCAAGAAATAGGTTACTTATTTGCCCAGAGTCATCACACAGCTGGGAAAGTGAAAAGGCTAGGATTAGAACGCATATCAGCTTCAAAGCAAGAGCTTTGAACCAGTAAATGGTAGTTTCTTCTAGAATACCTTGAGTTGAGGGATGGAGATGGTCTTGAAGCCCTTCCTCCGGCTGTCCAAGGCCACATCTCACCATTTTTCGACAGCTACATCGTGGAAGTTGCTGGTCCACCAGGAGCCCATGTGGCCAGTCGACACAAGACTCTCTCATCTTTTCTAGATAGCTCTACAGCACCAGAGGAGGGAGTTGGATGGGGATCCCAGTTAGGACAGGTGGCCCCGCAGAGAGGTGCCTGCTGGCAAGAAGGACGAGTGGACTTCAGTCAGGTTCCTTTGTCAGCAAGCAGTCTCGGGGGTAGCAGAGCGCATCTGAGAGCACCGCAGGAGGTGCCCTCGGAGGATCTCCCATCAAGCAGGGCAGCCCTGAGGGTCGCCGAGACAGCCCCATGCATGGGACATCCCGACGCGAGCGCAGGATGTCTTCTGTGCTTGTCGTCTGCCCTGATGTCTTGAGACTGGGGAAGTGGAGCTGTTGCTCAAGTGACCTTCCTCTTCCCTTCACAGGCATGAATGCTTTACAGCTCCAGAACCTGGCGACGTTGGCTGCTGCTGCCGCCGCAGCCCAGACCTCAGCCACCAGCACCAATGCAAACCCCCTCTCTACCACGAGCAGCGCCCTGGGAGCCCTCACGAGTCCCGGTGAGTGGGCGGGTCGCTCTTCCCTTGCAGGTGACGCCGCGGCGGGAGCGGTGTGGGTTTGCGTGCTCCCAGGTGCAGAGGGCAAGGCTGGCTGTGTCCAGGGTGGGGCCGGGAGATGGCACTGGCTGTTGACTTATCTTAGCAGGTTATTTCATCTACTATTGTTTTCTAAAGGAACAAAGTTTGAGTGTGTTTGTGTTTTATCTTCCAAGGATGAGATAAAGTTTTTGGTGAGAGAAACCACCGTGTTAGCAACTCTCACACGTTCACTTTGGTTTTAAAAAGGTCTATATTGTCCACACAACCCTTGTTAAGCACCCCCATTGTGATCCTAGTCCTGTTTTCTGGTCCTGTCCTTTTTTTTCCAAAGCAATTTAGGAATTCTTTGTAAGTCTCAAAGTCCCTAATCACTCCACTATTCTGTGTCACACCAGCTCCATCCATCACATTCGATTTTAAAATCCACGGTCTAGCTAAGAACATATTTCTTTTCATTTCTGGTCAGATTCTGGGCTATGTAATCTAAAGTCTCTTTTCCTCACAAATTTGGTTGCCTTACTCAAAAGCAGATGCCATTTTTCTTTTTGTACAAGCCAGATATAATGTGGTTGCTTAGATACAAGATGTAAAAAAAACATTTAAAAAGAAGTTTCACTGGCTTCCCTTCTTCCCTGAAGTTTCTAGACCCTGACAGATGATCTCACCTCCTCTGTTACATGAAGTACTTGGCCCAGAGAATCTCCAAGCTTCCTTCTAACTTTGAAAATCATATGACCCTCTATCGGCTGTACCCAAAAGATTCACCGATGTTGAAAAAACATTAATGAGAAAGTAGTGCACGTGTTTTCTGTTGGGAAGACACACAGCGAAAGCCACGGCATTCTGCAGACCTGCTTTCTTCAGACTTTTGGCTTCAGGGAGCTCCAAAGAGCAGTTGGTCTCTTTATAAAACATTGTGGAGCTAAGACACTGGACCCCAGGACAGTTTTGAGAGAGAAACCTGAGAGATGTTTAGTAGCTGGAGAAATTGGCCTTCAAGTGCTGAAATCTCATGGCAGAAGCACGCTAGGTATATTGACTTCATTGTGTAAAGGGTCTCCAAAGCCAAGCCATTACTATATGTGGGCCTCATTTTATGCAGTCAATACTGAGGGTGCCAAAAAAAGTATATATATTTTAATTTTCAATGTTCTTTCAAAAGATGACACTCCTCAAATGAATGCTAGTGTCACCACCTGACAGGCCAGACAGTCAAGAAAAATGGTGGAAGTACAGTTGAGTGAGCATCATACTACACATTGCTACCGTGATCCAATTCAACTTCAAAAAGTAATACATAGAAAACATCTCTAAAAATGTGTATACTTCTTTTGGCACCCCATATATTCCTGAAAGATAAACTTTAAGTCAGCTTTTTTAAGAAATTAAGTTACAGCTTTAATACAGCAAATGCACATAGTTTAAATAGACCTGTAATGACCCTTTTTTACATGATAAATTTCCTCTTTACAAAATTATTAGTGATTTTTCTTTAAAAACAAATAAAAAAACTTGACCTCTAGTTTACGTTTTATAAATCAGATTGAAACGTATTTTTTAAAGTAAGGAATCTACCCACCCCAACCCCCCAGGCCTGTGATTGCATTAAAATAGCACAAGTATCATGCATGCATTTTGTTGTGTCTTTAGTCAGAAGAAGCCTTGTCAGTTAAGAAGCCAAGTGCAAAAGCATAATTCCATGAATACTGTCTGTTCAGTGCTGTCTGGCAGCAAGCCCTGTCCTGGGGCTGGTCCCAACCAAGAGCGGGACAGACGAGTGCCCGCTCTCGGGAGTCCTTCGGTCTGTCAGGGGATCAGACAGGAAGCCAAGAGGTGAGCGGCACATGAGATGGAGTGCAGCTCCACAGTAGAAGGTAGAAGGGGGAGGGGACCGGAGGAGGTGACCCCTGTCTCAAAAAGTGACACTGGAGCAGAAGCCCGAGTTAAGTGACACCACGCAAGTGTTCACGTGGGAGACTGAGCAACGGTACAGGCTGGAAGGCAGGAGGATGGCGTGGGCCCAGGGCCAAGGGAGCAGAGGAGGGCCGAGAGGGAGGTCCTTGATGGCCTCCATTCCATCCTACCTGGAGAGGAGCTTTGGTTGTGGCCTTAAAATGCAGGCCACTCACAGAGCCCCAGGAGATGGTCAGACATTTGTCAGCAAGGAACTTTAGACGTATTTGACCATTTTCCGTTTTTTCCTGAGACCTTATTTGAGACTCCGCCCTCCGCCTGCTCTGGTGAGACCCAGGCTCGCCCCATGCCTCCTCCACAGCCTCCGCCCTTTGCCCAGATCTGCCGCCTTCAGGTGTCACCAAAAGTGATTTTTCCCTTCTCTGCCAAATAATGCTTTGCATAATAACTGAAAGTATTTCAGTAGAATCCTGAAGTGTAGCTGCAGAAATGATTTAAATCATTTCAATTTTTTTTTTTCTTTTTTTTTTGAGTTGGAGTCTCACTCAGTCTCCCAGACTGGAGTGCAGTGGCCACTCCCGGCCACCGCAGCCTCGACCTGCTGGGCTCCGGCGATCCTTCCGCCTCAGACTTCCGAGTAGCCGGAATTACAGGAATGCACTACCACACCCGGCTGATTTTTTTTTTTACTTATTGTAGAGATGAGGTCTCACTGCCCAGGCGGGTCTCGAACCCGCGGGCTCAGGCAATCCACTCACCTCAGCCTCCCAAAGCGTGGGATTACAGGCTGAGCCACCGAGCCCAGCTCAATTATTTTTCTTAAGTGTAACTAAAAACTCTGGCGTTAAAGTAAAAGAAAATTATTTGATTTCCATCCAGGACTTTTTCAGAGTCACCGAGAATGAGGTGAGTGGAGTTCAGGACTCCATAAGGGCAATTTCGAGCTAGTCCAAGGCCAAGGCCTCGCTTGTGTTGAGTAACTGTAAGCTGGCTGACTTTCCAGATGTGAGCAAGTCCACTTACACTGTGGACGGCCCAGAAGCCTCCTCCCGCCACTGCCACACAGGCCTGGGGTTGACCCTGTTTTTAAATGTGTCTCTTAAGTCTCAGACAAATTCATGTGGAAAGGAAAGGGACAATTCAATCCCCCAAACTATTAATTTTTTTAATAATTATAAATTTATCATTTCAATTTTGCATACCCAGGAAAAGTCTCCCTACAGCATTATTATAAGTGATTTTAAATAGTCTTGGCTTTAAAACATGAAAGATTAAGCTTTAATTTTTGTTAAAAAAAAAATCCCCTTAGGCAATAAATAGGTTCCTTTGTCTCACAGCCCTGAAATAAAAATTAAAATAGTTTAAATTGCCCATGGTTAGAATAAGTGTTTCATGCAATTATCAGATGGTAGTGAATAAAATTAGAAATTAAATCATGAAAGAATAAAAACCAGGTAAGTGCATATTATGCCTTTTATGAGGTTCTCACGGGTCTTTTGAAGCCTAATTTAATCGTGTTTCTTGTCTTTTATTTTGATATGATAATTTTTCCTTTGTTTACTTCAATCTCCTATTTGGTTAATTAATTCTTGGGTCATTTCTCCTTACCCAGGTTTGAGCCTGTTTTTGAGGATTGTGTCCCTGTGTTTATAGAAAGAGGCAAATTGTCTATAACAGGTGCAGCTGGGCATCAAAGACGATAATATTTGTCTTCCTCCCAGCCTGCAGGTTTGTTGTATTGGGCTGGTAATTTCAGAGCTTAGGAGACAGCATCATGTGAGCTACTTGTGGACATTTCTTTGGCATTTTCTGTCTCAAACATATTGCATTCATGGACCACATTACTCCACTGGCCTTTTTTTTAAAGACTGAGGACGTCTTTAAAAGGTCAGGCGTGCACTCCAGGGTAACAGGTCAGTTCTTTCAATAGTGCAAAGCATTTTAAAACACCCCACCATGGGCTCTTCAAAAGAGTGTTCACTTCAAATTCTAGGCAGTATTTTCCCCCGTTTTCAAGGTGTTCCAGGCCTCCTTGAAGGCTGTGACAGAGTTCCAAGGAAATGGCGACGCTTCCTTTGAGACTGTTTGAGGCTCACAGCGATTGAGGTGTTCGAACAGAGTTTAGACCTTCCCTGCTGTGTCCTCAAGCAGTCATGACCAGTGAGTGGTAACTTGGTGTGGCACACCTGCACGCCTGTGTCACCAGAGTTGCTGAACAAGCAGTGGGAGCAGGAGTCACCCTGGAAGCTGTGCTGTAGCTTCAACGGACCCGCATTTATGTCTGATGAGAACCTGTGTCACGCGAGATGGGCATCGGGGGCCACTTTCCCCCATGTTTCTGAGCCTTCTCGTTTGTTCAGGGCAAGTGCACGTGAGTCAGGCCTACTTGTCCCCTCCACGCAGTGACACGCAGGGAAGCCTCACAAGGCGGGGTGTGATGAGGACAGGAGAGGGAAGACAGAAAGACGAAGGGTGCTGGGAGAGGCCAGCTCCTCGAGGCTATGGCAGGGGCGCCTCAACCTCAGACAGTCTGGTCCCAAACTTCCTCCCACTGTCTCCCCCTGCCCCGTTGAGGGGATCTCAGTCTCAGTGGCCGACGTGACCCTGTCACTGAGCTTTGCTGTGACCTCTTCTGCTCCACAGCCACTCACCCATCTCTGGGAAGTAACATTTTCCTCCCAGGCGACACCAGCCTGGATGAGGCCCTGGTCTGCTCTCCTTTGCTACTGTTGGAACAGCCCTAACTCCATCCCTCTGCCCATTTCGCATGGTTTTGGCCACCATGGTCAAAACTGGAGTCCGACAAAACCCTGAGCAAGGTGTTCAAGGCCCCCCTGCACTCTTCCAGTGTGCCCAGCCCCCACTGCCCAGGCCAGGTCACCCCTCACCCCCAGATACACCTCAGCCTTGACGCCGTTATCCCTGGGGGCTTCTCTGCCCAGAACAGCTTCTCTCCGTCTCCTCCCCTGGAAATCTTCCCCACGCCAATCCATTGTAGGGCCTGTTCTTGGGAAGATCAATCTGAACGTATAAAAGTGGTGTTTTTC